GGAGGGCAACCAAAATGATTAGGGGGCTGGAGCACATGACCTATGAGGACAGGCTGAGGGATTTGGGCTTATTTAGTCTGCAGAAGAGAAGAGTGAGGGGGGATTTGATAGCAGCCTTCAACGTCCTGAATGGAGGTTCCATAGAAGATGGAGAGACATTGTTCTCAGTAGTGATGGATAGCAGAACAAGCAGAAATAGTCTCAAGTTACAATGGGGGAGGTCTAGGTTGGGTATTAGGAAAAACTGTTTCACTAGGAGAGTGGTGAAGCACGGGAATGGGTTACCTAGGGAGGTAGTGGAATCTCCATCCCTAGAGGTTTTTAAGTCTCAGCTTGACAAAGTTCTGGCTGGGATAATTTAGTTGGGGTTGGTCCTGCTTTGGGCAGGGGGGTAGATTCGATGACCTCCTGAGGTCTCTTCCAGCCCTATGATTCTATGATTCTATATCAGCACCTATAGCTAGCTATAAGCTCTCCCATTGACATAGCACTGTCTAGGGAGGAGGATAGGTTGGTATAACTATGTCACTTGGAGGAGTGATTTTTCACACCTTTGTGTGATGTATTTATACTGCTAAAGATCTGTAGTGTAATCTACATCTGAGGAGCCAAAGTCGTATTTTTTAAAAATGGAATGGGCATTTAGGAATCTAAACTGTAGTGTAAACTACATCTGAGGAGCCACAGTCGTATTTTTAAAAAATGGAATGGGCATTTAGGAATCTAAATCTCGTTGACTGTCTATGAGACCTTAGCACCAAAGTCACTTTTGAAAAAGGAACTTAGGCACCTGAGTCACTTAAGCACTTTTGAAAATTCTACTTCTCATCTTCTCTGTCTCATTTTTGTGCCTTACCCACTTGAATCATGCTTCCATTCCTAGCAAGGATTGGCTGGCACAAGGGAGGAAAACTAGGAATGAGCCCAAATTAAAACAATGGATCTGGACATTCCCAACTTTTTCAGGTGAAGCAAGAATACCAGTGTTTGCTAACTGGGAAAGGAACTAGTACAAGAGCTAGAAATACTATTTTAAAGCTTCCAAGATGACAGAAAATTAAAAATTATTAAAACCTTCATGAGCAAGAACTAGAGTGTCTCATTAATTATGCTGTAAGAGTACCTTAGCCAATGACAAATATATATAGGAGAGTCTAAATACATTTTGCTTTTTTCCAGGGCAGTGGATTGTGCCTTGCCTCAGCTGTTCTGACAACAGAACCTGTGACTGGCGAGAAATAACATGGCAGCCACACAACTGTCAGTATTCGGTCCTGACTAAGCCAGAGCTCCAGCAATGTGTAGAAGGCAGAAAGGTATGCAACCAATTTAGCTTTTTCACCTGCTGTTTCTGTATCAGAAGATAAATCATCCACGCCTATTCACACTGAACTTCATTGTCCTGAAGTTCTTTACAAATGGGAAGAAAAATGCATTGTGATTCGTATATAAGAAAAATCACTCTTTATTACATTGCTAGAGGAATGCTGAAGAGGTTCAAATCATAGTGACAAACAATGGTTTTGTAGACTTGAACTGCTTATAATGTATACTTTTATACCACCATTTGATGTAGACTTTCAGTTGATAACAATGACATTTCCAGACATAACAGAAAAACTTTGTATGAAAAACCTGTAGTGCATTTGGCAGTAGTAAGCATGTAAGTCTCACAAGTGAAAAATAATATGCACTGTTTTAGAGACTGACACATTGCATGCAAGCTTTGTTTCCTCTGCTGTATACCTAATGCATGGCACTGCTTGTGCATACTAATCTTACAAAGTCTTCTTGCACATTCTTTTCTTATAGTGAAGCTTCTAAGGTGATTGCTTGGAAATACAGTGTCTTCTTAATAGGCATGCTATGACTGTGTGACATTTGAAAGAGATCTCTGAGCTGAGACTCAGGTACAGTTACTGGGAATACGAGAAAGTAAGTAATGGCTATGAAGATTTTTGACAATATATTTCGTAGGTAGAAAAAATGTCTTTTGGATTAAGCCAGAGACCTGATCTTTGCAGAAAAAAAATTGTAATCACTCTTGTGAATTTTAATTCCTTCCTTTCTTCTTGACTGACCACTTCTCAGCAAGCACAAGGTCCTTCACTGCTATCTGACTTCTTTCTCCCTTTGTTTTTTATGGTATAAATCTAGCTGCAAGACAGGTTCTACTGTCAGTTACACCCACATAAATTGGCTGCACTAAAGCCATTTCACCTGGGCCAGGTACTGTGGAGCAGTGTTACTGGAAGTATTGTGTGGAAACACATTAACTGGCCGCCACGGTTTGTTTATTTACTGGCGCCATGGCCACGGAGCCTTGCGGTTCCTATTGGCTCCATTTCATCCTTTCTAGCCAAGGGGAGCAGTGGGAAATGGTGTGGGCCAGGCCACCACTTCCTGCAGCTCCCCTTGGCTAGAAAGGATGAAATGGAGCCAATAGGAACCGCAAGGCTCCGTGGCCATGGCGCCAGTAAATAAACAAACCGTGGCGGCCAGTTAATGTGTTTCTGAGAGTGATTCTGTAGAGCACTTTCAGAAACACTGCTGTGGAGAATACTTGTTCATAATTTTATGGTGCTTGTAGCTCCAAATGTCCCCTTTCATAGAAGAAAAGAGGGTTTCGGACAACTCCCAACAGAATTACTCTGACGTTAACTTGGAGCAATTACTGCTGAATGATCTAGGACAGGCTGAGGACCCTCTCAGCTGGAGCAATGTTATGGTAATACATGGACAGTTTGCAAGGAAATGGGGTTTTTAAAGTTAAAATACACTTTTATACAAGTGTAAATACATATTTGCCATATTGTTGCTGAGTCCTGCGCTACTGGGCCCAATTCCAATCTGAGTAAGGGTATGTCTACACTACCCCGCTAGTTCGAACTAGCGGGGTAATGTAGGCATACTGCACTTGCAAATGAAGCCCGGGATTTGAATTTCCCGGGCTTCATTTGCATAAGCAGGGAGCCGCCATTTTTAAAACCCCGCTGGTTCGAACCCCGTGCAGCGCGGCTACACGGGGCTCGAACTAGGTAGTTCGGACTAGGCTTCCTATTCCGAACTACCGGTACACCTCGTGGAACACAGTCACCTTTGGAATGGTTGATGTCACAAGGTAGACAAGGTAGATGGCTATTTGTTCACATCAATAGCCCACCACAAGTTGGCAAGAAAAACAAAGGTTGTAGATGCCAAGGGAGTAGCATGTTCCAAGGAAGATGCATTCCTAGAACTCAGTTGAGAAGTGTACAGAGTGCCCAGTCACCCAGCATCTGACTGACCAGTGCAACATCAGATATACATTGTAAGATCATTACTGTGGCTTCTTCATGTTCCACAGGGAATGCAATTTTTAAAATGCAATAGAAAGCTGCTTAACATTTTATTCACATTTCTAAAATACAGTTCTATTGTATTGTGCCCATCCTATAACTTTGCTATAAATAAAACCTAGAAAAGAAATGGGTTTTAGTTTGTTTTTTCTTACTTCAACCTAGTTTTATTTCTTGTATTAAATTCTGTGTGTATTTCAGAGGTAATTTTTAAAATCTAATTCACTATGTTTTCCAACGATCTTTTTTTTTCTTTTTCTTGTCATTGACTATTTTTAACATTTGTATCTGTGAGTTGGCTTGGTTACATGCAAACTTGAGACTGCCTGTAGTGAAAGAACAAGATACAAATTTCATTGTAATATGAAAGAGGATATAAATTCCCCCAGACAGGTTATATTGAGTTTTATTTGGTTAATGGTGTGTTAGCAGCACTAATCTATCACATGTTTGCATTTCAACACACAACAAAAAGGAAACTGAAACCAAGGAAGATTTCTTCAGGGAGGGTTTCTCATTCAGCCAACTTCTAGTACGGTGGTGGGCAACCTGCAACCTTAAGGCCACATCAGTGTTCTGTGTGTGGCCCACGAGACATTTTGTGTGCTGTAGTCCACAATTACACTGGTTTCCATCTGCATAGTTTTTTCCTACTAGTGTTACTAAAGTGACATAGATTTAAAGTAAGGGCCCGTGAAGTGAGGTGTGTGCTGATTGTACACAACATTGAATATGAGAGCCGTGCATTTCTGTGAATTGAAAGCACTGCTGTGGTTCAGTCAGCACATCCTGCAAATGCTAGGTATACAAATGCAATTAGCAAAACTACCCTATCTAGGAGACCATCTTGATTGCAACAATCTTGAAGTCACTGAGACCAATTCACTAACTTAGGTTATCCATTTCCAGTACTGTACCTGTAATCTCTTCACCTTTGAACTCCTGGTTCGGGCAAATTGAATGCAGGCTACATTACACAGTAGATTCGAAGTGCTTGGGGAATTACGTGTGCATAACCTAATTATATCAAAGAAGTGTGCAATCAAAACAGAGGATAAATTTGTATTACATCTATGTGACATATCCCCATATAACTGTGTGGTTAATGAGCTTTCTCTATAAGATTTATGAGATTTATTGAAGCATAACAGTAATTATTGTACAAGGTAACTTTTAAAAGATGTCTTGAGAAAGAGATTCTAAGAGGTAACTAGCCATTCAATTAGCAAAGCATAGCAATCTGTCCTAAATAACCAGGAAAAAATGTTTATTTTGTTTATCATTCAAAAATACTATTCTGAGTTTAGCCCTGTAATAAAATACCTGAGAGCCATGTGTAATTCAGAACAGGAAATATGAAAAGGCAATATTTGTTGAAGTACTTGAAATTCAGCTGTTAAAACAGGGACTCTAGCTTATGTTTTCTGAATAATGTCTTAGGGTTAAGTGGTGTTTTGGACTTAAAGCTGTTTAAATTTCTCAAGTGTGGTTAATTTATGATAGGTCTGGCTAAGAAGTAGAATTCCACTATTCTTACACAATTTTTTGAAGTATGTTTGGTCATAATGGGAATTTTTCACACTAAACCTTTGCAACAGAAAATACTGAAACACATCTGTCTCTGCAGAAATATTGCACTATATGAAGTAAAAATATGATCCTGTAGTCCTCATTCAGACTAAATACCCATTTGATTGAAGACTACAGGGCACAATTGTAAAGAAAATGAGATACAGCACACTGTAAACACTGAATGATTCATTCATTAATGTCACACAGCTAAGCATACAATCTTATACATAGACCTTCTGCTAAGGTACTTCCATTATATGCTTCAGGTCAGGTGCAGAACTTGGGTCAGCTGATGCAAGTGAAATGAAGTAAATGATGCTATGTCTCACACTCTCTCTCTCTCTCTTGGATCCCTCAAATCGAGAATGATTTCCTCTTGGACACCTATAGCAGCTGAGTACATAAATGAGAAATCAGGCCGCAATGAACACCTCAGGCAGTGAGTACATGTGAGGTCTCTACCTCTGTCGGCGCCAACACCAATGGCCCTGATGCAGGCCCAGTCACGCTCCTTGTATCAAGCTCTCTGATCTTCATGGAGATGTCGCTTGATCTCAAAGTGTCAGGCACAGTTCTTGAAGCCCTCCAGGTTACCTGATCCTTCACCTGCCTCTCCCAGGTGTCAACGTCAATGCCACCCTTTACCAAGGTCGTATTAAGGACGTGCTATTCTGTGGCTGCTGCACACTTGATTACATGTGGGGCTTACATTCTGCCAGAGCTGTGTGCAGTCCAGCTCTGGTAAATATATTCACAGCTCTGGGGACCCACAAACCAGTTTCAGGAGTCCACAAGACCCTGCAGCTGAAGCTGAGTGCACCTCCCACAGGCTAAAGATCTGAGCCCCGGCAAGCCTGCCACAGGGCTGAAGCCCCCAACGCCAGTGCCTCTTGCAGTACTGAAGCCTTGACCCATGGGCTTCCCTACCCCTATTCCCCATGAAGCTAAAACCCTGAGATCTCTGCCTTTCAGCTGAAGCCCAGAGCCCTGCCACACCCCAGGACAGAAGCACATACACCCTCAGAGAAGAAGTCTGAATAAAAATAATTATGCAATTTATTTTTGAGAGGTCCATGCAATTTATTTTCATGGTAATTATGATAAATTAACACATGGAGAGCAGCAGGAGCCCTTTGTAGGCTGAAAGACGACGGATATGGGCAGCTGACACAGACTGTTAAGCCAGTGCATCTTTCTGGAGTAATCAACAAGGGTAGCAATTGCTAGGTAATCACACCTGATATATGTGTATGGTTAAGTTCTGCATACAATGCTCAATTTCCCTCTCGTGCGTCAGAAAATTAAAATCACAATTTTTTCCAAAGAAAGAGGAAACTCTCTAATTGAGAGGCCAGTGGGGAAGTTAGTGACACTGCTGTTGTTCATTAGGACAAAGACATGGTGCA